GATGAACTTCTGCTACACTTTTTTTCAAATCAAAATAGTGCAAAAGCACATGTCGAAAAAACACTTTATCGCGTTCCATTTTTCACAAAGCAAAAGAAATTGTTGTTTAGGAAAATAATTGTGTATGCTGACTGAATGTTATCGAGAAATGTCGAAATTAATCACAAACTACCTGTTTCGTTAGTAATGACTACTAGAACTGTTTGCATTGCCATCTAACATTTGCGGGCGGAAACTAAGTTAAGGTCCTAATAGATACAGGTACTTTGAGAATGTATCTAAATCTTTTCAGATACTTTTCAGATACTTCGATCACAGAGTGCTCAGTAAGCTCTTACGTTTCATTGGTACACATTTTTAGATCTAAAAGAATATGCTAATGGGATACAAGAGCTCACTGAGCGGTCAGTCAGCAGTTGTAGTATTGGGCGCATTCAGTAGAAAAAGCGCTCAGTGAGCAATCAACGATTATTGGTTCTTGCTATTAGATCCCTAAATCTAGACCAATTACATTGACAAATTACTCAACTGTTGTGCAACTGTTGAATCTGCTGAATGCAGCCATTGGCTACGTTCAGAAAACATAGCTGATCAGTGAGCGGTCAGTAATTATTGGTCCTTACTGTTAGATCCCTAACTTTAGACCAATTACGTTGAGTAATTACTCAACTGTTGTGCAACAGTTGTGTCTTCTGAACGCACCCATTGAATGCACTCAATGGGCGCGTTCAGCGGAAAAAGCGCTCAGTGATCAATCAGCGATTATTGGTTCTTACTGTTAGATCCCTAAATCTAGACCAATTACCTTGACGAATTACTCAATTGTTGTGCAACTGCTGAGTTCGCTGAAAGCACCCAATAAAGCAACCATGGTGTAAGAATATAGGGGTTGCGTTCCGTTTCACACATTATAAGTGAATTCTCTACAGTATACGTGAACTGTAGATAAATGCGCGCATATATGTGAAACGGGACGCGGCCAAGGTGTTTCATTGCACATCATGGAGGTGGGAGTAGAACTAATCAGAAAGTTACTATAAAATATACTATGTTAACGTTACGTCTGATGAGAGCCACTGAGTTTTTCGCATTTGTGGCAACTTTCTAATTGCGCATCCACCGGAATGCATCACCTTATATTCTTATACTGTGGAAACAACTTTGTCTCGTGTGAAAAATAACAATTATATATAAAATCACCAAAATTGCATTTTATCTATATATTCTGTATCTAAAATGATAAATTTAGATACAGATACGAGATAAAATGTAAGTACATACAGATACAGATTTTGAAATGAAAAATATAATTATATACAGATATAGATACACAAAAAGTATCTAGATGCTGCAAAAAGATACATGTATCTAGATGCGTT